CCCTGACACCTCCTGAAATTGCACCATTTGCGCAAACACGAACTGGGGTCAACACTTGGCGGAGGGTGAGGGTAGGGACAGCGTTACGAAGCCTACTAAGGGTAGGCGGGGGCCTTGATTCGTATTTCGGAACTCATGAAATACTGCGTGAGACGTTCGTGGGGGTAAGGGTTCCCTAGAACATCTTGTGGGCCGATATGGCTCGTGTCGCTGTACAAATTTACGGGTATCACGTCGTTCGCCTTCAAGGGACAGTCGGCCAACGGCTCCGTAAGCAACTTGCGCTTGCATCTTGGGGACTACTGAACTACTACGGCGTGCCTCTTGACCAATCTCTGCTTCCACGAAGCTTGCATAAACGTCTGGGACTGCATCTCTGCCAGTGTTCGGACAAGCTGGCAGGGTGTCTCCGCATTTCGAGAAAAGCATCTCCATTGTCAAGCAGGCCTTCAATTTGGCTTGCTCTTTCAACTTCACAGTGCATCTTTTTTGCACAAATTCCCCGCTCCTCTTGTCCCTTACAGACCAGGGCCCGTACAACCGTCAACGCACAGGACTCCTACTTCCCCTTATCATCTTCTCCAAATTGTGAACGAGTTGCATGCTTTGGGTCGTTGCTTGTTCTGGATATTAGAAATTTCCGGTGGCTCCCTGAAACTGTCGCTCATGGCCCCCAGCAACGCGCCAAATCATAGATTCACTATGTCACAGTTCCATAAATTCAGAATTTCTGCTTCCTTCACCGGTTGTTCGGTTTGATCTGTACATCCGCAATACGTGTCCCTTATCTCACGCTTCCACGCTGCACCATCGTTCCTATTCTGCTTCATTCCAGGCATTGCTCCAGGAAAGCATTCCCTCTCCAACACCTGCATCTGCTCTTTGTAAACGAACTGTTAACACCACCACGTCCTCTTGCGCACCCTCATTTCCCATTCTGGCTTGCACGCCCCTACAGAGAACTAGGTGTCTCAGCTGGTCCATTTCTAGGGCTTTGCGCTCTCCACACCGCGCCAGGATCTGTTCTAACGCAAGCTGCGCCATCCCTTGGCCCACACGGTGGCTCTGCCGGCTTGGTACGCTTGCGCCATTCATACTTGGTTGCAGTCGGACAGCCGTCTCCCCTCTTTGTAGCCGAGCCCATGCTTCCTCATTTGAATCCATCTCCAACTCCGGCAAGTCTGGCCGTTCGGCTTGATCTCCCGCTTCATCTTGTAGGTCGCTCTCAAAGTTCTCGGTAGGAGTCCAGTCTCCGTCCTTTCCAACAACTTCCCGCTTGGTCTGGTTTCCTCAGCCGCCTGCTTTACCAGGCTCGCCCTTCGTATTGCCCGCTCGTCCCGTGGCTGCTCTTGCTGGTGGAACCTTTCGGTGGGTTCCCGTCCCTCCTCCCCTGGAGCCAGTTGATTCTCTTCGTATCCTTGTCGATGTTTGCATGCAGTCTGCTCCAAGTTGCGGCGACGGATCCAATAGCACCTCCACTAAAACTAAAAGGCGCTTCCTGAACTGTTCCCGCAGCTCTGCGCTCAACACCACTCCTCCAGTAGTTGTTAGCCTCTCTGGTTGTCGCACTTCTCCAACCATGCTCAAGCGCCCGTCCTTCCTCTGTCCAGTCCAGTTGCTGCGCTTTTCCTTCATCTGTCCAGTCTCGGGCCTCGTTCCCTTTTCTCAGCGTTCTCCTTCCGTATTTCCCCGACTGTTTTTTTGTTTCTTGGCAGGTTCCCATTGCAAAATCTCATCTACCACATCTGGGCCTCGTGATTCTTTTGCATCGCTTTGCTCTTGCACTCTGCCCCCCTCATCCCTTTCAAGTTAACATGTCCTTCCCTTGTCAGCCTTCCCTTGCTCTTCTTCGTTCCCTCCTTTGTCTCGCGCCGGTCTCTGGGAGCTTTTGGTAGTCGACATCGTAGACGTTGAGGAAGAGGAAGTAGATCGATGACGTCTTGCTCGGCTTTCTCACTGCCACTTTTCTTTTGCTGCCTGCAGCTTGCTGGCCTTGGCTTGCATCTCTTTTTCCTCCCCCTCCACTCGCATCCGTCGCAAGAGATTGCTCCTCCCACACTACCCACCTCGCGCAGCTTTGGTCATTTGATCAGGTACTCCAACAATGCTGCTGGTACACCCTTCTTTCCACATCCAGGTTGATGGCTCTGTGGTTTGGTTCTCACCAGACCACCTTAACTGCACGCAAAGCATACACTTCCAGCTTCCACTGAGGTCAATGCCGCGGTGTATGACTCCCCTTCCCTCGTACGTCGTAGTTCCCGGCATCTTGACTGCCTTCCGTTTCCCACGGACGACGATCTTTTACCTTCGGGCTCCCGCTGATTTCAGCAGTGTGCCTTGCAGGGCCGAATTTAATCACACTGCGCTATACGTTTGCACCCCCTCAAAATAATTCACAACGTGCTACACAAACCTTCTCCGCGACGAACTCAAGAGGTGCGCTGGGCTGCCAAAGAAACCTATCTCGGAGACAGTATTTCCACAAAGCTTGAGTGAAAGTTGGAGTACAAGTTGGCAGTTCCCGCCTACACTTGCGTTTGAGGGTGCTCCCCCTGTAATTAACTCCGACTGAACAGTGACTGACACAATATATATCGCGTAACTCAACTGTGGGGGGCGGCCTGCTTCCCTGACTTGTCTCCAAGCACGCAAAAGCATGTTGCTCAAGCCTCCCGGCCAGCGCACTCGTCCAACCCGACCCCTCCCAAGGCCTAACCTCCAAGAGGAAAGGTGAGCTGGTCTACTTGGGACACAACTGACACGACTAGTATGTTTGCTAGCTCGTTAAAGACCAGGGTCGGTGTGTGCCCATCGTTGAGGACTAAGGGGACGGAAGCAAACCTCCCTCGAAGGCCTCCTGGTGCGCAGTCACATGCCCAGCTCCATTTGGTGTAATAAGGTGCCTCCCAGCCTGTGGGGAGCTTGGACAAGATGCTTCCAAAGGTTTCCTGGAAGGAGAGCAAATGCTTAACGGAGCCGGTCAGCTCATACAAGACATGCTCTAACGCGTAGGTAACTTCGTAATGAAAGAGCTCGTCAAGAGAAAACCCCGTAGACGACGCTAGCATTGCAATTTGACAATAACTTCCAGGATAACTCTTGGGAATTTTGCTGGGGATGGGTAACGAGATGGTCCTATATGCTGCCCATACTGCACAATAGTATGATGTAAGGACGAGGAGCGACTCTTTGGCGTGTAAGCGGCTTTGATTGCTCCTGTTGCGCTACCTGCCTCCTCACGTGGCCTGGGGGTGTCTAAGGCACCGGTTTCAGTTTTATGCGTCTAGTGCGCATTGTTATTAATGGACTGGCTCAGGCTTTCATCATGGGGTACTGCTCCATCAGTTGCTCGAAGCCTACCTGTTCCAGCTGCACTGGCTAGTGCGGTGATGAAGTCATCTGGAGTGGTTTTAGCAGAAACATCAATGGGGGAGTTTAATTTCAATATTTTGGATGTGCTGGTCAGAGGCATAGAGGGAAGTGTTGCCGAGGTGCGCAATTGGCTTCTCCTCTACTTGGTCAGCAATGGGGTTGGGTTGCTGGTCCTTGGGATGAGTATTGATGCCTGTTGTAGGGGGTGCGCTTTCAATTGATGTCGATTGCTTAGCGACTTCGTTCTCAGTTGAAATAGAATGCTTTGGTCCATTGTGGGATGATGTGGGTCCTGGCATGTGAACAGTTTTTGATGGCTGAGTGGTGTGTAGGGGCAACTGCATCCTGCCTTGACAGGCATAGAAGGTGCGTTTAGCTGTACCGGGCAACTGTGCAGTGCCTTGTTCTTTTCGGATATCAGCTTCTCTATCAGATGTAGCAGGCGCGCTCCATGCGCCTTCTTCAGAGGGGAGCCTTGCGGTTCGGCCTCGGGCAGTTTAGTCAGTGCTAACTATAGTTGGTTTATTCCCAAGCTCGACGGACTTTGCCTCAGTAACACTTAGGTGGTCAGTCTGGTTTGGACCTCTATGAGGGTCAATTGGATTGGGTGTTGGGGCATCTATAGCGGGGCCGTTGATTCCGCCTTGGCTAGGAGGGTAATAACTCGGAAGTCGATCATGGCCTGGGACACCAAGTTCAGTAACAGGAGGCTTCTGTGCAGTACCGTTGGTCTCACGAAATGGTGTTTGGGGAGTTATCTTATACCCATCCCGGTAGGCGTTTACACCACTTGGAGTACCGTTATTGACGAGCAGACAGCCAGTTTCCTGTCGTGTGTGCTCTGTAACTAAATCATGCATATCATTATTTTGGCCGTTAGCCTTACTACTGCAAGTGTTCCAAGGTGGTACCAAGGACTGCTGGAGGAGACGCGTCTGGACCCTTGTTATAGAGAGCAGCACGGGGCCAGTGTCCGACCACCCCTCCAAAGAGGAGCAGGGGCAGAGACTTGAGCCAAAATGGTTATAGCTCTTTATTTATTTCCATGTATTTCCTTCCTTTTTATCTAGTTACGTATTTATTTCGCTTTTATCTATTTATGATGTATTTATTTCTTTATTGTTGAGTTTCTTTCATGCTGCTTTCTCTCCGTTTTGCTGCCTGTGCATTCTGTTTTCACTTTTATTTGTTAATGACTGGATTTGGGTTGTTGATTGATCCACTTTGTTCATTTTTGGCTGACTATGTTCCTTGTCTTTTTTTGTTGACATTTCTCCCTCAACTGTCCTGATCCTTTTTTAAGCGTCACCTTCACCCAAGAGTTCGCCAACTTCATACCTGTTGTGCAGGACATCGACCGCAAGCTCCGCCATGGCAATCCGCTTTGGGACTCTAACGCAAGTTATGCTGCTATGAGGCTGCGGTTTTGACGTGTCTTCGGCTAGCATTTGCCGCAGTTGAAGCTGGCTGTGGAACTACTTGTCCAATCCTTTGCATGAGAGGCGATGACTCTCTGACGGTAGTCTGTCTGCAGGCAAGCGGACGGTGTCGACGATCAAGTACGACTGTTTACAAATCAGCTCGTGCCTCACAACCCGAACTGTCTTGTTGGCAGGACCACGAGCCTAGTGGCGGAGATCTAGGACCTCTCTCGCAAAGAAATCACAGCATGCCTTTCTGCCAAGCGCAGGGGAAGATGGCGGTGTGCCTGCACAACATCTTTTGGCACAGTGCTTTGTTCCTATTAAACTGGCACCATCTGGTCTGAGCGAAGGTGTCGACGGCTGTGAAGCCTGCACGCGACTTGAGGGTGTAATGCTTGAAGCAATGCCTACACTTCTTGTGCTTTCGGCATGTAACAATGTAAAGGTGTCTTCACTTCATGCTCAGGTATTTGGAGCCAAAGCAAACCCACGATCGCGAACCCTGACAAAACGGTTTACCCAAGTACAGCCCTTTCATAATTCACCATGTGGGGCCATGTCTCACACCACATGAACAGGGCTGATGCAAATAGAGAGACTCTTTCTCATAACAACGAGACATCAGCTGACGCATGTTTGCTTATCTGATCTGCCATCCAACAGCTCAGGCTCGATCCTTTCAGTAAATTCAGAGCTGTCTAGAGCTGACAGCTGACACACAAGAATGTGTGACCCGCACCTCTCATCAGCCGCGCAGTGGGGCTCGACTTCCGCAAGTTGGATTGTGAAGCGGCTGATGGCCATATCTATTACAATCTCAAGCGTTCCCTGATGAAAACTGCGCCTTCTTGTGACCAAATTTCTGCCCAGCAAGCTCACTTTAAAGCTCAAGGGTGCTGGCCGCGTTAAACTTGAAAAAAAAACACACGAACAACACACCCATTGCCTCGGATCCATTTGATGCACAGAAAAGAGGCGAGGCCTGGCAGTTCATGTGATTCACAAGCAATTCGCCACTGCTTCCATGCCGTCAGAACCAGCACCATCAACAGCAAATCCGTTCACCCGCAGCATCGAAGCACAGCATTTCCCAGTCACAAGCCCACTTCATAATCGCAGCAGGGGAGCTGGCAGCATGGCAGGCCTGGGATCTAAAAAGCTATATCCCAAGAGGCTGAGGCAGAACACATCTTCTGTAAGCGTCTCACGTTCCTGGCAAGCTGGAGCTGGGGGACGGTGCCGGAGGAACAAAATCTTCAGCACCAGGTCCTCGCAAATCGTGACATGCTCAGCCCATCTCAGCCTATCTCAGCCTCCTATGGCCTGCAAGGTCATGGACCTCTGCAAGGAGAGTGCGAACGCACCTGACAACGAAGATGCCAGGACATGGTGCCAAAGTCTTTTCAATGCCAGACTCTCAGATCGCAGCTCAACGGTGCACTGCCTCAGTGCAAATCAAGCCAGCCCTAAACAAGCTGCATGTCCAGCTGAGGCGGCTGAGGTTACTGCGCAATCAAATCAGGGTTGTAGCCACCCTCCAAGGCCAGAAAAAGACGGCCCTGCGGCTCAGGGTCGCTGATTTGCTGCATCCCACAAGTTAGCTTGCAGTCCTCGCAGTAGTGCTGCGCCAAGCGGTACAAGCAACGGGTCATCCTTAGAAAGCAGATGCCTGCTTCCACGCCTGTCCTGCAACCTGAGGCCATGTCCATCCAAATCCTTCTGGACTCACACGACAGTCTCCAAGCGGATCGCCGCGCACCTGGGCGCCTAGTTAAGCGAGATCACCTACCAACCTTGAAAGTCAACTCCGCAGAACCAATTCTGACAAAATAGCAACCCCAACATGTCGTTACAAACGCCACTTGTTTGCTAGTTTGCTGTGCTTGTGCTGTGCGAAAAAGCTCCCCCCAGAGCTGTACGCAAATGCATGTGTTTGCACAGTTTGTGGGGGAACCGACTCATCACAGGTTTGTGTTGCTATCTCAATCGCAAACATTCCCAGGGCAGGGCGGCCCAGGCTCTGCGCACACAGTCCGCCCATGTGCACGCATGCATGTCTTGTCTGGCTTCCTACGTCGTTTCGTGAGCTTGGCACTGCATCAAAACCAGCAGAGATGAAGATTGCTTCCGGCGCAAACTTCTCAATCACAGGACAGATCAAGTAGCCTTGGTGATGCACTATCTACTTGAAGCTGACAAAGACTCTCCTGGAAATTCTCAGGCTACAGCGCATGACATGTGCAACATCCAGGTCTCCAAAACCCTTGTCTAGTGGAACATTGACAGTGTATCCTCTCGCAGCGGATTTGCCAACGTCCTCTGCATACCCAGTTCCAGGAAAAAAGGTGCTGTCATATCGGTGTAAACTGAAGAATAACACGCTGTCATCTTCAGAAAAGACGTCGTTCGTTCCATTTCCGTGATGCACATCCCAGTCGATAATTGCAACACGCTTTAGCCCATGCTCGGACTGGGCATGCCGCACAGCGACAGCCACGTTGTTGAACATGCAAAAGCCTGACGCCTTCTCTGCGCCGGCATGATGCCCAGGTGGCCGTATGAGCGCCATACCACACCGTTCGTTGACAGTGTCTTGGAGGCAGTGATCGACCAAGGCCAGCAGGCAGCCAGCAGACAGGAAGGAGCAATGAGGCGTGTGCTCATTTGCATAGGTGTCCGGTCCAAATGGCCTGGCAAGATGGGGAGTCAAAAAAAAAATGTGGGAAGAGAAGCCTGGGAATCAAAAAGAAAAGAAAGGATTGGCAAGCCCAGCGGCAGTCCCCAGCCTTTGCCCTTTTTCTTTGCTGTGGCAGACTTGGACACAAGCTCCACATGATTTTCAGTATGAACCCGCATCAGCTCCTCTTTGGTTGCTTCTCGAGATGTAACTTTCTTGCAAATAGAATGTAAACCTGACATGTCCAGCTGCCGCAGTATTTCTGCAAGCCTCGCCGGTCGTTCAGGGTGGTTGGGTGGGCCTGCATGAAGAAGCATGGCTTCATCGCTGACAAGTGCAACGCGGCCCTGCGACTCCGAGAAGCTATTTGCATCCAGCCAAGCTTTGGTGGCTTCCGCTCTTGAGCGAGCTTGTGTCGAGGTAATCGAGGTGGGATGTCCAGCATTCCCTTCTGCCATATCGGGCTCGCTGCCGGCCATTGTGGCCAACTGTCCGGCTTCATGCGGCATGGCAGTCACATGCGCAGCTCTCAAAGGCACAAGTGATCTGCGGGCCAAAGTAAGCTTGCTATGCGTCATCTTTTTTCGATAGGACTGACATCCCTCAGCAACCTCAAATGACTAAAGCTACCCATGGGTTCAGGGAGGGACCTGTGGCGAAATTCTCTCAACCATGGCGTTGAGTGAGGAAGGGTAGCTACCTGACCAGCGAATGTATCAAGACGTTTCATGCCCAAGCCAAACAACTGCGCCATGCTTGCACCACTCCACCTCTGCCCAGGGCGTACTTGCATGCAATACCACTGAGGAAAGCGAGCTCTTACTGCTGCTGTTCCGGAGGTGCAAGAATTCATGCGTGCAGGGTTTTTTGCCACTGGCAGGTCTGGGCTCCCTTTGACAGCGCAGCAGCAACTTAGCCACCTAGGGCGTGAGTTTCAAAGACCTGCGCGCGCGAGCCACTTTATGGTGTTGGATAAGTCTGTAACAAAACATATATCACGCGACCTCTCCCAGTATCCACCTGGGCTCCTCGTACGGCGTGATGTCATCTTGGCTACCACAACAACACGAGCGGAAGAGCTTCGATGTCTCTAAAGGCCCGGGACTTAAAGCATCGTCCCCAGCACTGCTAGCCTCGAAGGCTTGAAGGCAAAGGAAAGGCAGCTTCTTGGCACAGCAACAACACGGGCCAGGCTGTCGGTGACAATAGCCTCTTGCTGCAGTCCAGAGGTCAACTCCTTGAGCACTCAAGTACTCGCAGCATTGACGATCAAAGCATGTCAGTACGTACATTTCTCGGGCCACAGCATCACGGACCAGAGCAGCAATGTGCTGCCTTAGTTCATAAAAGCATGCAAGCCTTTCGTGTGGTTCCAGACGGAGAAAACTTCAAACTGGCGACCTTCAAAAACGAATGCTGCTCACCATCAAGCATTAACAGTGGTAGGACCAAAGGAACCATGAAGAATGGAAACACGAGCTGTCAAACAGGTTAAGGGTCCTCTGGTGTCCTTGAAAAGTGCTCACAAATGTCCTGCACTTGGAGAATCACCCAAGGATTCTAGAGGCATCCAGCAGCACTGTCAGGGCCCGCTGTTGGACAGTAGACTTTCTGAGCGAATCAATAAACAGCAGGCTGGGAGCACGGCATCTGGGTCTTATGCTCCAGGGGCAAGTCCTCCGATCCCTGCTCGCTCACGTCTGCCTTGTTGGGATAGCAAACTGACAACACGTAGCACCCAAACCTCCAGGACCTGGATTCCAACGATGAAGAAGCGCTCCTGCGTAGAGATATTCTAAACACATGCACATCAGAATCGTCAGAACCTGCTTTCTTAAAGCCGCAATAGTGACAGGATGTGACAGGCCTACCTGCAAGAATACAAAGGCTGACACGGTCCTCCCCATCTTTCGTTTTGCCAACAGAGAGACCACGCCTGAGATCAATGTTTCAATTGGGCTGCTTTCAGTTTCTGGGCCGGATCTCGAAGAACAGCCAATGCATGCATATACATCATGCCATCTGAAGAAAGCGCATGTCCAACAGGTTGAGAAAGGGTGTCCCATCTGCCTGCAGCATTCAACCAGGCTGTGGAAACAATGCTTCACGCAAGCAAGCGCGCATAGCCTTGAGGTTCTTCAGGACACCGCAAAAATGCTTTCCAGTCCTTCGCAACTCTGAATGTTACATGCTCTGACACTGTTTCACAGCTTATGCACCTCAGCCAAGGGCAGAAATAACTGAGAGGCGTGCTGCGCAGATACTCGAAGGCCTTGCCTGTCGCTGGGCCTGAAAGGTTGTGTGCTACCTCTTCGTCCTCATCACTAAGCAACATTTTGGTGTGCCGCTGGATGTCACAACCATCATTCAGAAATCGACAGTTTTGCCTGGCAAAAACTAACCATTGCAAAAAAAGGTGACCTAACAAGTCTCCCGCAGCTGAAACAGCAGAGGACAGATTTGCAACTGCACAAGCCGGACGGTCCCAAGAATGGTCTCGCGGTCGTAGCCGGTCAGCTCACAGAAGCCCTTCAAGCCGATCAGATTTTGATTGGCATGTCAAAAGCACATTTCAGTTCAACATCGTCTTCATCGTCGCAACCGTGCACAGCATGTGTCACAAACATGCAATCATCTATTCTCAGCGTGCAGTCCTTGCCGCCGCAGGCGTGAAAAAACAATTTAGGGCTGGCGCAAAAACCGTAAAACAATCGGTGCCCAGCTACCACATGAAGCAAGATTCTCAAAAATGCAGAAGTGCACCAACCTCTGAAACGGAGATGAGCGGGCAGTCGGGCTGAGCAGTACAGCATGCATCACAAAACGATGAGATTCTGGAGAGGTGCGGTTTGTGGTGTCTGAGATTGGAACAAGCTGAGGATCCGCAATGCTGACCTCTTGCTGAGCTCTGGCACATGCTGACGGCGATCTTTTAAAACATCATTACTGTAAAATCTCGGCCCATCGCAGAAAAACTACAATCGCGGATGCTCCGTACCTGCACAATCTTGCTTCAACTCCTCACTACCTCATGCTTCTCAATTTATGGGACACCAAAAATATTGCACACCAAGAGGCTACAACGCAGGTCACATCGCTTTCAATCCTGTACCAGAATCGATCTGAACTATTTGCCAAGATTGAATTGTATGGTGTCCTGGCCAGTGTCTCGTCCAAATGCTGCTGCAAGTCACCTGCCGCGTCCTGCGCACAAAGATTTCCCCCCTGTTTAGGACAAACGAAATTCATTCCCCAAAAGTTTGATGTCACCAACTCCAATGCTGCCTGGCTCATCGCTCGAGCGAAAAATGTTGGGTGAACACATCTCGGACGATGTCATCACATCACATGTCACAAAACAATTAATTCTTGTTACATAGACAAATAGCTGGAGCATGCCAAACACATCAAACGTGAAACTATTACCGATTTTTCAACCATCTCGAACGAGTACAACATGAAAAGAGAGCACCACGGCTGCGGCATGCGATTGACGGCAGCAGGAGGCCGTCGACCGCCCTCAATAAATGCATCGTGCCTTTGCAACGACCCGAGGCGCTTAGATACACAGTTATGAAACGAAATATGGTTTGGATTATTATCCTAATGTCTTTGTTTGCGGCCTACGACGAATTGAGCCAAATCTTACTTATAGCAACCAATCAACCTGATTGCATAACGCTTGCTCATAATGAGAAATATGTCGAAATAGGGACCTGCAAAAAGGCCTCTCCTTAACCCAATTCGGACGGTCTCCGAGTTTCCGCCTGAGCATCCTGGCTCCTGCGGCTAATGCCAGGCAACGAGACCTTACAAGCCCTCGGACAACTTGCTGCGACGATGGAAGTAACAATGCCTGACTTCACGATGAATCAGCATGTACCCCATTGCAAGGCTTAAAGTCCCCAACCACGGAAGTTGTTAAAGTTGGCTTGCAACTTTTTCAACAAGAAACACTGAACAACGTAGACTGGGCATTATGCCAAATCACTCTGGAATTTTGGGCGTGCTTGCCCTTTTTCGGGCCAACCAAATTTTTTTCATCATTCGAACCCCTCATTTTTCATAGCCGTTTTCTTCATGGCAATATGCAAACTGTCATCTCAATCCATATCATATAATGTTGACCCCCGATTGTAGAGGGGCTCTGATTAATAATATTTTTGGGAAAGTACTCAGAATCTGCTATTGTTTGGGGGGTTCGAAATAACAAATTTTCTGGGACCCAGAATTTAAAAGAATAGCACACTGCTCCTGTCCAAGCCTACCACAGCAAGCTGCAAGAGACGCAGTATTTTCCTTTCCTTTGGGCTGCTCTGAATGTAGCATTCCAAGGGCTTGAAGGCTGGGAGGCAACAGGCTCATACATGGGCCTGTCCGTTCCGCCCCTTACCTCTGAGCCAAACGACTTGAACCATATGACAACCTTACAAAACTTACCCAAGAAAACCGTGGTTGCACTCACTCACTCAAGCACACAGCGTAAGACGCAGCAGGGACTTCATTTTTCCGTTGGGATGCATTCACTTCAAGTCTTCCATGGCAGTTCGCCAAAACAGGCAAGAACCTACAGGTGCACTGCACGGGTTAGGGTTGAGGACAGCTCCTCACACACGGGGTGCGGGTTAAGGTCAAGAACCCCCTCGTCCTGCGAGGTCGCAGGTTTGTGTCATTATCCAGTGTTGGGCGGGTGGGCAGAAAAATTTCCACCTCAGCCCACAGCTGCACAGGCAGGTCAAGTGTCAAGCATGCGCATGCACAAGATGGCCTGAAAACACTCTAGCTTTGGCCTGCAAAGTGATTTTAAAACTCGCAAGGGGAAATTTTTCCAAGCCTTCAAAGTCAAGTTTTCCTAATGGCTCAAGTGACAAAAACACATAGTTTTTCCCTAACGCTTGACTCAGAGATAAACCGTTATCCGAAGCGGACGACAGGCTTACCTCTGAGCCAAACGACTTGAGCCATATGACAACCTTACAAAACTTACCCAAGAAAACCGTGGTTGCACTCACTCACTCAAGCGCACAGCGTAAGACGCAGCAGGGACTTCATTTTTCCGTTGGGATGCATTCACTTCAAGTCTTGCATGGCAGTTCGCCAAAACAGGCAAGAACCTACAGGTGCACTGCACGGGTTAGGGTTGAGGACAGCTCCTCACACACGCGGTGCGGGTTAAGGTCAAGAACCCCTGCCCTACAATTAACCGAGAAACCTTATGTCCCCAGAAGAGCATTCTCGATGCTGCCCAGCAGGTCGGAAATGTCTTCACACGGAACCTCCACCCCATGCAAGGCAACGCTCCTCATCAGCGACCTTGACGGGGCATCTGCCGGGTTTGATGGTGACGGTACCCTCTGGAACTAAGCGAGGATCTCGGCCGAACATTCGTCAAGAAGAAGCATGTCCAGCAGCTGGCAATGGGTGAGCGTGCTGCCCCCAAGATGGCAATGTCACGAGCGGCATTATTGTCTACGAAGAATAAAGTGGGTTTGCCTGAAAGCAACCCCTCCCATTTCCTCATGGCGCAGATCAGTGCCACCACTTCCGCTTCGAAGATGATGGTTTCCTTAACTGTTCCCCCTTGAGCATCCCGGAGGCTAGGTGGGATCAACGCAGAGAATGCTGACACAAGTGTACCCGAGGCATTGAGGATGAGTCCCCCAACCCCACAGGGCCATGTGCTGGAAGAAGGAGTGAATGACGCATCAGTGAAAACGTACCACGGCAACTCCCAGCCGACTCTGACCGTACGGGGAACCGCAGACTCGATCGAGCATTGCTGCGAATCTTGTCAAGGCACGATTGCAATGCGCTGATGTTGTTGCGGCGGTCGCCAGGTGGGCGTGATCCCAGACTGCGCGGAGACATAGCCTTCCTACGCGGCCGAACAGTCGCCCTTCGGCGAATTGCATCCACCCTCGCAACTTCAGAGCTTGCGCTTTGGATAAAGAACCTGCAGAAACGATGGACTGTATAGCCTCAACCAACTCCTTAACTCTCTTCGCTGTATTGCTGATTGTCAGACGCCCGTCTAAGCAAGATGAAAGCTGCACGGTCACACCCAGCGCGGTGAAGACCTCACTAAAATCCATATGCCTGTCCCTGCCACTCAAGTAGGAAAAAGAATGCCCGCACACAGTTGTCTGCGTGGCCTGCAAGGGCGTTGCTAGAAAGGCAGATGAAGTCATCATAGTATAGAGTCCATACTATGGACAATGCCATACATGCCAACCACCAAAGAGAGTGGGATGTTCGCAAGAACCCTGAGCATCCGATATTGATTACAATCAATATGGGTATATGGTTCTGGTA